TATATATATATATATATAATTTCAAAGTCACACCATATATAAAATAATGCAGTGATTAATTCTATTTGAGCCTTGGCCTGAAAGCGAAGGATTTCTAGTCTGAATACAGCATTGAATAGGTAATTCCTTCGACCTGGGCAGGAAATGATGCTCAGCTGTGCACTGTTAGAACTGCATCAAGGCAATAAGGAGCAATGAACTCTGCACTAAGTTATAGAACTTTTCATTTGCAGGAGAGATGTTGTCAGAGATGTTTCTCTAATAGGAAATTAGCCAGGTGGTTAGCGTGGCTTTTGTATTCTAGTTCCCAGCAAGTCTCAGGATAAAGTATCAGCAAGGTTTAAGTCTACTTTCAAGTCTTTTGAAGAGACTTTTTCTCCCTGTGAATTTGCACAATTTTATAGAAGAAACCAAATAAAATAGGCCTCCATTACTACTGTTTTCATTTTGTCCCATAGGAGTTTGATAAAGAAGTTAAAAGTTTTGTGTTTGTCCTGGAAGGCAGCAGCCAAACCAACAGGATTCAATTACCAAAGGAGAATAAGCAAATCCGTGAGTAAGACTTTTAATCCTGGAGCTTAATGTTCCTTAATGGAGGAAGTTATGCTTTGTGTCGAGTAAGCAGGTGTACTAGTAGGACTTCATGGCATCACTGATGTGAAATAGTGTGATTTTTTGTTTGTTTGTTTTGATCTTGACTTTGTTTAGTTTGTTTTTTGAGATAGAGTCTCACTATGTAGCCCTGGCTAGTCAGGAACTCGCCATATAGATCAGGCTGGCCTTGAACTCAGATCTGCCTGCCTCTGCTTCCCAAGTGCTGGGATTAAAGGCATATATTCTCTGTTACTACTAGTCATCTAGAAAATACTTTTAAGACTTAGAAGATTATTTTAGCAGCCACTTGTAATAATAATTACAGTATTTGGAGCTAGAGAGATGGCTCAGCAGTTAAGAGCACTGGCTGTTCTTACAGAAGACCCAGGTTCTAATCCTAGCATCCACTTGGCTGCTAACAGCCATCTGTAACTCCAGTTCCAGTGCATCCAACTCCCTCTTCTGTCTTCCATGGGCACTGCATAGCACAGGTACATTTACATACATGCAGGCATAACACTCATACATATAAAAAATAAATGAATTTTTTTAAATTAAAAAATAATTACAGTATTTTTGAGTGCTAATTCTGTATCAGGGATTTTTATAATATTCTTTTATAGATGGGCAATCAGACATTGGTTTCTTATTAGAAAATCAGGTAGTTAAGGCAAAATTTTGATCAAACTCAAGAGTTCATAAATTACAAGAAATTAAGTTCTTAAGAAAAAAATTATCAAAAATATTACACCGGTCTTTATTCATAATAATTGATATACCTTTAGGAATATTAATGCCTAATAAGTATAGCTGTGAATATGTGATTTAATAAATAGCCCCAAGAATTGGTTCCGAGTCTTTAACAGACAGCAGCAACATTTTAAAGCAGAAGGAGCCCTGTTAGGTGACATACGGGAATGATCAGAAGTGCAGTTATTGGCAGAAGTGAGATTCAAATTCCAGGTTCTCTCTACCAGATTAAGCTCTCATGAAACTGATACACTTTAGATAATATAATTTATGAAAATGATTAATCAGATTTTCCATGAACTACATCCTGCTGGTTAAATATAGATTTCTATATTTTACAAAAAATGAACAATTCTCTTTTGCATCCATCATCTACTTGGTTCCCTAGGAACATTGACCTAGGGGCTGCAGACACAGCTAAGTGATAGCATAGTACTTACCTAGCATGTTCATGGGCCGGATGCAATCCTCAGCATTGCAAAAGAAAAAAATAATTAAGGGGTCTATCAAACCCCTTCTGTGTACCAGGCACTGTGGAAAGGCTTGTGGTTGGTACTTGATTTCTAATTTTAATCTGATTTCTGAACTGTTGTGACTCTAGACTTTATGTACCCTTTCAAACACTATGTGCACAGTTTAGATGTCTGAGATGTAAAGCAAGCCATGTAAGTTATAGATGGGAGGCAATTTGTTTTAAAGTGTCTTGCCAGTGTTTCTTTATAAACCAACAAGAAATAGAAAGTGAACAGATAACTATTTAAAGGAAAAGTTTTTAAAATTAATTTGCTATCATCAGTAAACCATGGCTCTCTCACAATTCCTACTTGGGTATGTGTTGTGTTTAATAGAGGTGTTTATTTCTTGTTTTTGTTTCTTTTTTTCATTTCCAAATAACTTTGTATTTGTAAGTGAGGTGAAGATAAATAAGCCAGTGAATCACATCTGAAATTGTAGATTTTTTTTCTTACAAGAGGCACAGTTCCTCTGTTTCAGGGTATTAGCTTTGTGAGATCAACACATTTGATTTGCAGGGACGTGACTCTGTTCTAAGCCAGCTAGTTCGTTTTCCTCCCCTTATTGTTGGACTTACCAAGCCAACCTGGACTTCCCTTGAATGCCCTGGTCGTTCGTGACATCAGTCACTTCTAGCAGCCTCCTCGTTTGCTCTGAGAAAGAGTCATTTCTACTTAAGGCTAAGTGACTAAACCACAAACTCCCTCCTCCCTTTCCCTGCTCTCATCCAGGTTTTTTTTTTTTTTTTTAATTTCCCCAGAAATCGGGTTTAATGTATTATAATTACCTCCTTAAATGTAACGATGATGACTTTTAATGGAAGGAACAGAATCTTTTAATGTATTTCTTGCACAATGCCCTGCAATTAAAAATTAATCTGGCTTTTCTGTAGCATGTGTTTCGCTGTAACAAATGAAACAGTTTACACGGTCTTCCCTTGTGCTGACGTCTTGAAGACAAGCGCTTGGGAACTTTTGATAACAGAAGTTTCTAGTTATTTTTACTGTTATAAAATGACCTGTGTGAGGTTGGTGTGATTAAATTAAAATTAAATAGCAAGCCTTGAATAGAGAAGTGACTTTCAATTAGCATCTAAATTAAGTTCAATTAGCATTATGCATTCCTGTTTTAAGAGTAAACATATACTTGATGCAAACTTGACATTCCATACTTCATTTGTTTCTCAGTGTATTAGACACTAGAAAGTTTAATAATGAAATTATGTACATTTAACTGGTCCTAAATAGTAATCTTTCTGAATTAACTTATATTTGAGAATTTCTAAATAAATCAGCTATAATTTTAAAAATTTATTACATTTATTTATTATTTATGTGAATATATACATGCATCATAGCATGCATGAGGAGGTCAGAGGACAACTTGGAGTCCTTTCTCTCCTTCCATCATGTGGTTTGGGGGGATTAAACTTAGGTCATCATTACTGGCAGCAAGTGCCTATACCCGCCAAACCATCTTGCTGGCCCAGTTTTTTGTTTTTGTTTTTTTTTTTAAATTGAGCATTCATCAAATAAAGGAACATGATTTTGATTATCAGATTATATATTTCTCACAAGTATGAGGACCTTGAATCATCTTCTTTGTACCCCTAACTCAGTGACGACACATACTTTGTTATATTTGCTGCATTGAGAAACTGACAATTCTAATTGTAACCATATGTTCTTGGTAGGACACTTGAGTCCATCACTCACCAGTTGGGTAAATCTCTGCCACCCTTCAGCATGAACCATGCTATATAGAGTTATCAGTGTGAGAAGCATCTTTGTTATACATAAATATCCATTAGTGATTTTTTTATTTAAGGTTTGTGTTCAAAGCCTTTAGTTTCCCTACTGAAGCACTGAATCAGATAGTGTTATGTCAGGCCATCTCCACACTGAAGCCAAAGTTCAGCTGTTCTAGGGGCAAGGATGGCTTCCTGAGGCTCCACCAGGTCTCCTCACACCCCTACTTTTCTATTCTTTTTAAATTATATCTTCCTCTGTTTAAAGCCCTTCAGTGTCTCTGATCCCATTCTACAGACATGCTCTGATCAGACTCATAGTGACTTCCATATCTCTGAGCTAATAGCTGAGTTCTCAGATCTCATCTTCACCTCTGGTAGCATTTGCAAGAGCTGGTACCTCCTTGATACAGTTCCTCCATTTACCTCCCAGGACACCTCCAACCCCCAGTTTTCTTTCTGATGTACTGGCTTATTCTTGTTTCTCTTGTTTTACCTCTTCTCCCCAAACCACTTTACTGCTGCGTTGCCCCTGGGCTCTAGGTTTGACCCCTCTAATTGAATGTTCTCCCTGGTTACCAGTGTCAGGATCGTGGATTTAAATACCACCTGTCTCACTCCAGCTTACATTTCTAGCTCAGATTTCTAAACTCCACACGTGTATTTCAGTTGTTCACTTGACATTTTTCCTTGGGCAGCTTAAATGTAGTGTATCCAAAGCCCAGTTCCTGGTCTTCACTTCTAGGAATTCCTCCCTTTGTCTTAGACTGCCTCATTTAAGTTGCTAGCAAACAACATTGTCTTTTCAATTGACCAGACCAAACATCTTAACTAAATCAGCTTCTATTTTTCTTTATTCTCTCATTGAATCCATTAAGAAGATCTTGGGGGACTAGAAAGATGGCTCAGAGGTAAGCACACTTACTGCTCCTCCAGAGGACCTGGATTTGGTTTCCAGCTCCCACATGGCAGCTGACAGCTTTCTGTAACTCCAGTTTCAGGAGATCTGAATCTGATGTCTTCCTCTAGCCTCTATGAACACTGTATACATGTGGTACACTTAACATGCACTGTTCATCTTTTTTCCCCAGACACTTATGGATATATACTTTCATAGGACTTTGGTGTTCTCTTTCGGGAAACTAGATTATAAAATCCAAGAGAGCAGAGATAATGCTAGTCTTATTTAACTGCAAAAATTTCAACAAGTTGTGTGCACAGTATGGTGATCAATAATATGTGCTGAATGATAGGGCTAATTTAATCAATACAAATGATCCTGTGAAGTTCCAAGTCAAAATTGTTAGCCCAGCTTAGGGATGAAAAAGAGCTAAGGCAGTTGCTGAAGAGATGTGGAATAGTACCTCACGAAGGCAGTGATTCTTGTTTTGTGTTGAGATGGGAGAGGTGCCTTCAGTGTGATCTTTGTGCTAAGGCTGTGATGGAAACCATGGAATAACTTCAATCATGAGAGTTTAGGGCACCAGGAAAGGATGAGTGACTGTTCTATGGCCTCATCCCACTTCTTTGGATAATGTAATCCTTGTAAACTTGTATATGTGAGGTGTGCAATCTGTCATTTGCTCTGATGAAAAAACTGTGAAATCACTGTTTAAAACTTGAATGTTATTTTGCTAGTAGAGTGTTTTAAAGTATTCAAAAGACAAAAAAGAGCTTGACCCCTTTAAAAGTAGGAAATTTATTTCAGGCACCCAACAGATTATAAAACTGTGGAGACCTGCATATTTCAGGAAGAAGACTGAATTTCTGCGTATTTTATGTGCTTGATGGAATTTTTTAAACGTAGTTCTATATTCAGCATTGCTGAGTGATATTAAATATAATACAGATGTGAAGAGTCAGTTGAAATTTACTAGGCCATTCAAACAATATACACTGGAGTTTACTTACCATTACCGACAGAATCAGCCTGTCAAATGTTATTAAAGTACTTTTATCTTTGTCAGATCACCATACAGTATCACCACACTTCTTTTAATCTTAGAAGTAAAAGCCTTTAGAAACTAGGGCTTCTGTGTACGAGAAAGTGGAATGACAGAGCTTTTTTTGAGGAAAGGGATCTTTCATTTCTAAAAATGCCCTTTTACATGCACCTCTGTGTGTTTGAAGGGGACAATACTGCCTCAGTAAGATCTGTGGCATAGATTAGCGACCTTTTTAAAGGATGGGTTTCATTTGTCCTGGTCTCAGTTCTATTTACAGACAAGGCCATTGTGAAGTGACAGGAAACCATAGGTTCTATCGGTGCAAGAGTCCAGAGAGCTTGATTTATGATGACTTATTTAAGGTGGCCTCATTTTGATACTCACTTTGCCTTTGTAGATTAGAACGCTAGTTGCCTCACTGGCTCTCTCTATAAATATGGTAGAACAGATTCCTAGAGAATTTTCTAGGCTGGAACCTTTTATCTCCCATTTTTGTAACATTGCTTAATCTAGAATTGCTCTTTATATCAATTTATAAGCTTAATAATGTTAAATGCTATATTTGATTAAAACATTAGTAACCATATTTGGCCAATTGTGTTTATTGTTTAGAAAAAGTTGGGGTATAAACATAGGAATAGTTTAAGTTGCTCAGGAATGTTATTACCATAGGAATCATAAACAAGTGTATTGTTAGATTTCTTTTTTTGAGACAGGGTCTCCCTGTAGCCCCAGCTGGCCTGGAACTCACTTTTGTAGACCAGGGTGGCCTTGAACTCAGAGATCCGCCTGCTCTGCCTCCCCGAGTGCTGGGATCACAGGCATGTGCCACCACGCCCGGCTTAGATGAAATATTTAAATGTATTAAATTTACTGTTAGAATAAATAGCATATAACATCACTTTATACTAATTGCTTTTCTTGAAGTCTTTTATTTTTGGTGGTAATGGGGATTGAGCCTAGCCTTGTACATGCTAAGCAAGCACTCCAGCCATAGCTCAGATCGTCTGTGAGCTTGCTATATAGCTGAGGACGACCTTGATCTTCCTGACTCTACAGTGACCCACCCCTCCAAGTGCTGGATAATAGGGGAACACATCACACCATCACACTGGGCTCTTCCTTGAAGTCTTTCATCTACCTATTGGAGGTGTACTGTTGGATTTATAGAAGCGGTTCACAGACAAAGTCGTGAAATCTCTATGTCCTACACTACATGGAAAAAAAGTTCCTAAATTGCATATTTTAGAAGATGTGATATTGTGGGGGTTTGGTGGTGGTGGTGGGTTTTTCTCTAGCATTGAGAACTGAACCCAGTGTCTTGTAAGCCAGGCAAGTCCTCTACCACTGAACTATATTAATACTTTAGGAGGTGTGATACTAACACATCTGTTAAAAGTATCACAAGTTGAGGGATCAATCAAAAGTTCACACCCTGAGGAGCTGTAGACTTCAGCTCTCAAAAGCATCATGTGGGTTGGTTTTTCTACAGATACTGTTGTTAATTCATATGAAATGAGTGATGGGGATAAGCACCATCAGTTCTTATTTAGTGAGCAATAAATTAATTAAAAGGATAACAAGGTATTAAGAAAGAAAATGTACTTCTTCATCCAGCTCGGTGTGGCTGCCTTTAAGACCATGTGATCCAGATGTGGCTCTTGGAGGCTTGGGTTGCAGTTGTCATAATTAGAACTTTTTCTTGAGCTGTTTTTCTTTATTAAGTTGTTTAGTAAAACAGTAAAAACTGTCAATGAGTGAAAATAATTGCCACGTTTTTATGGCCACCTTGATGGGAGTCTGTAGTTCAATTTTATATGTCTGTGTGGAGTGCAGTTCAATGTTCACATTCTTTTGCAGCCTAACAAAAATAGTAAATAAAAATTATTTTTTGGATTTTCATAAAAATTTCACCAAGGTCACAGATAGGACTTTAAAGTACAGATTGGTTGTTAGGGTTTGATTTGGTCAGTTTTTCATTTTTATAATGAGGTGCTAACTCATGGATGCTGCCAGCTCCAGGTCTGTAGATTCCTGAGGTGCTGAAACCTTCGGCTTGCTGATAGCACGCGATTGTGTTTGTTTATTTGCACATAAAGTGGCCTGAACGTTTGATGATATTTTCTCCCTCTTGTTCTAGTTGGACTGATCCAGAGGTTTCTTGTACTTCAGATTTACATACCCCTGGGACAGGACTTCTCCACTGAATTGCTGTAAGTTATATAGGACTTCTTTGAATGTTTTATGTGTATTAGACATTTGATCAATTGAAGCAATACTAGCAGTCATTAATTGTAAGTGACAGGTTTTTTTTTTGCATTAAGCAGTAGTGACTTATCAAGTGGATACAAAGTAATTAAAATAATTTAATGGCATTTCTTATATATTGTACTCTTCATTTCTCTAGAGAAAGAAAGCAAATTGCACCTGTTTAAGGAGATGCCAAATGATTATGATTTTGCAGTTGTCCTTTGTTGTGTAGAAGTATGTATGGTTGGCTTAAAAGTGATTGAAATACCTCCTCTTAACAATATTTATTGTATTTTAGATCTATTGGCTTCTCTTGTGTATGTATAGACATCTTGTAGTCTGTTTTCAGTGGCCTTGAAAGATTGAACAAAAGTGGAAAATAACTTAGTTGAGCTGCTGTGTGCGATGATAATAGTGATGTGTATAACATTTGATTTGTAGATTCGTATATGAACAACTGAATCGAATACCATCTAAGATTTCATTACTACATTTGTATACTTTAAACCATTACATATTCTTTGTTTTTAATTAAAGGCTATAGAAGGTTCAGCCTTGGGCCTTTGTCTTCGAGGCTGGAAAGAAAAGGTAGTTTTGTCCTGGTTCTGTGGGTACAAGTGAAGGGGGAGAAGGAGCTTTCTTTTTTTTTGGTCTTTTTGAGACAGGGTCTCCCTGTAGCCCCAGCTGTCCTGGAACTCACTATGTAGACCAGGCTGGCCTTGAACTCACAGAGATCCGCCTGCCTCTGCCTCCCGAGTGCTGAGATTAAAGGTGTGCGCCACCACGCCCAGCAGGAGCTTTCTTAATAAAATGAGAGTCTCATAAAGTTGAGGTTATCAGTTTCTCTTTATAAAGCTAAATATTAATGGTTTTTAGGTTGTTAAAGTATGAATTTTAGCTCTAAGATGTAATCTTGCTTTCTTAGATGACACAAAGATAGAACAAGTCACACTTCTGTTTTATTCAGCCCTAAGAGCTGTGACTTTCTAAGGTCTTCCTTTGTCATCTTCCATAGTCACCACCATTCCTTAGAACAGCTCTTAGAGAAGGGAGACCAAAGCCTCACTTGATGCTCTTCTGTGCCACTTTCTGGTTTCTGCAGAAAAAGCGTTTTCAAGACTCCAAAGACATTCTAAAGGTATAGAAAGTTCCACTGAAAGCTGTATTTTCGGTGCAGAGGAAAATGATTTCTGAACTGAAAGAAGGAAAATGATATTTTAAACTTGTAAAGCTCCTTCTGTAGAAATCCAGTGTAGCTTCTTTTATCACCTCACTCTCACCACCACCCCCACATCAAGCTTCTTCAAAGCCGTGATAAAGGTGCTGCTCACTGGCCTTTCCATCAGAGCATGTGGTACACTTGGCAGAATTAGAACAGATTCCTTTGCCAGTGAGACTTCTTTTCCTATGTAAAATTGAACTTTATTAGTGCCCCAAATGCTTGAGGTCTTCACTCTAGGCTAGGTAGTATACTAGTCTTAATTAATTTAATGATAATTAAAGCTTTAAATATTGAGAAGTAGCAAGTACCTTTGTTTAACTTAGTCCTAGCAGGAGAGCAGCTGTTCTGTAAGTAACCCTAACTACCTCTTTGCTACCACATTGCCAGTGCTGGTGGTCTGGTGAGCATAGAGAAACAATTTGAGAGATGTTGGGATTAAAGGTGATTTTGAATGCAGTTCACTATAATCACTGATTCCCATGATCTCATATCCACATAGAAAACATTTTGATTTTTAAAACAATCTTAGTTTTATAATTTTAGAAAAATAAATGTCCTTTGGACAAAAAGTTAAAATGATTAAATGACATGGGTAAGTCATTCTCCATCCTGACTGTGTCAGTTTATCAGAAGAAAATACATGAAGCTCTGTTTTGATTTGTTACTGATAATCAAAATATTTCACCATTCCATGAAGTAATGCCACAGACCCAGACCATCAAAAGGAAGGGAGAATGATGGGTAGAGATTTCATTTCTAACCACAGCTCTTTTTTTCTCCCTTAAATGAAAGGCTTTCTTCCAACATCCTTAGTGTTTTACTGTGTTTCTAGCAGCATTGCTTGAGGCTATTTTTAAAAATGCATTTCTCTAACAAGCCTGGAAGGCCACCTAGCAGAAAGGTACCTGGCTTCTAAATTTTTCCACTGTCAGAGTGAGAGAGGCATTTTGTTTCACAAAGGTTCGTGTTGCACATCAAGAGGTTTTTGTAAGTGGAGTTTTGCCAGCTCATCTAGGAATTAGCAGTCATTTCTTCAGCTTTTTCCCTGTGTCTCTGCCGCCCACTGGATGATCCTTCTGCTCAGGAGGCCTTAGAACCAGCCACAGCTCAGCTTGAGCACTCCTTCACCCAGTGTGCAAAGGACTACAGACCCCGTTGTCAAGCAGCGTTCTGTACACTGGGCGTTAGAAATACCTTGACTCTGCAATTGTCTCCTCACTTTTGCTGCTATTTTTCCTGCTTCCAAGACATCATCACTGTCACCCTGATTGTTCCAGCTTTCCAATGGACATCCCAGCTGCCTCTGTTAACTTTTTCCTAGTCTAAGGTCCACACTGTAGTCAAAGTGAACTTAAAAAAAAAAAAAGACCCAACTTGAGCTTCCACAGGTGAACTGAGGTTAGCTTCTAAGTCGTTCATACTCTGAAGCTCTCTGGAGTTTGTCTGTTCTCACCTCATCCACTCCACTCTGAGCGCACTGTTTGTCAGCCACACAAGGCTCTTATCCCTCTTGGCCCAGGTACGAGTCCTACTTAGGTTCCTGTGCAGCTTCTGTCCCTAGCTCTTTCCTTGCTAACCCCTATTCTGAGGTGTTCATTCTTCCAAAAGGCTCTTTTTGATCCTCCTCTCCAACCAAACTATGAGATTCATCTCTTACACCCTCTTCTAGCACCTGCTCCCTTCCTTCATTGCAACTCTTAAAGTTGTATTTGTCTTACAGGTAGACTGAATTTCATGAGCACAAAGATCCTGTTTGTTAGACTCAGACTGCCATCTGGCACTCACTACAGTGCCTGGCACATGATAGGGTCTGAAATGTGGGTGACTAGACAGAACTGTGAGTGGCTACTGAATGGCAGGGCCCAATCTCTGTCCTCATAAAATGTGTTCTGAAGGTGGAAGATCGAGTTACATTTTAATAAATGCTATGGTGACACAAGAGTAAGGTCAGTGGGAACATGAAGCATATAGTAGAAGAAAGAACATGGACAGATCTGCACTGAAACTCTGCTTTCCTGCCTAGAGACTTTGGGTAGATTATATAATTTGCTTCACCTATGAGACAAGAGTAATGGTTTCTTGCAGGTGCATCATAGACACTAAATGAAAAAATTAACATAAAATAGCAATAATAATTTCTACTTCTTAAACATGATTGTATATAGGAATTTGATTCTTCTAAACACTTTATTTTAGCTTAATTAATACTCAGAATAAGCTTCCTCATAGTCATAACACTGATCAGTGATTAAGCTGAAGTCTAGGTTAAAGAACTGGCCAAAGCTTACAGCCCTATTTTGAGTGCCAGGATTCAAATCTGTACTTTAAACTGACGGCCTCTGCTCCGCACCACCACACCATGTAAGCTTACTTGGGATTCTGGTAGAATACACACAGTGGACTGCAGATAAAGAGAAAGTACTTCATTTGAATCTTAGTATAAGACAAAAGTGCAACACCTTCTACAGCTTTAGAGTTTCTCTTAATAGTACCATGAGAGTCCAGGGAGGAAAGGCTGTTCAGGCTGGACTTTGTTTTAACCTTTTTTAAAATGATCCTTTACTTTGGTTCCTGCGTAGGCCTCTTTTTTTTTTTTTTTAAATATGTAAGAATTATAACTATTTCTTAACTTGTTAAGATGGCTGCTGAACATCATGAGCTGACCAGTAATTATCTAAATTACATTTTGCATCTGGGGCAAGGAGAGTTTTCATTGTAGCGACACATATTTAGCAGTGAAGTATAGAATCCTTTTTCATTTTTCTTTCATCATTGGTGTCAACCCCACAAGACTCCTCTATTTTTAACAAGTCATTTTGATTTGCATATTTTATAGTATTAGCACAGTTTTCTAAAGTATTTTAGTGTAAACATGCTTGTTTGCCTGGAATAAACAACAGGTTTTTAAAAATTCTTTAGTTTTTTAATACTCCTTTTTTGACAAAAATTATATTCATTTTACCAGATATTGTCGAGCTACATTAGTTCCTTTTCTCTCCTGATTCTGCCATTATCTAGATGAATTCTGAGAGGATTTTGGACAGTTACACCTCTAGTGAATTGACATCACTTCTCCCGTTTTCACTCAGCTCAGCCAGTGCTTTTCCAATGTGTCATCTTCTAAACTGCATTCTGCAGGCCCTGGGAGGCCAGCGGGTCCCCTGTGCAGGTTTGGTAAGTGTTTGAAAGCCTGAGGGCAGGCATCTACTGCACAGGAGGGGCATCCTGACCCTGTGCTCTTGAAGAAGAGCCAAATACATCTTGAAATAGATGCATTTTTGCTATATTTGATGCTGCCAATCACACTAAATGATTTAGGATTATTACTTTTTTGACAAAAATTACATTCATTTTACCAGATATTGTCGAGCTACATTAGTTCCTTCCTCTATCCTGATTCTGCCATTATCTCGATGAATTCTGAGAGACATTTTGGACAGTTACACCTCTAGTGAATTGACATCACTTCTCCCGTTTTCACTCAGCTCAGCCAGTGCTTTTCCAATGTGAGTTGGAAAGCCGTGCGGTAGACATGATGTACTGTTTGCAGAGGTTAGAACTCTTAACACACGGGTCTTAGAGAATATTGTTCCTATAGGGCTTCATCTGTTGAGTCTCTCGCTTGTGTTTGGAATCTGATAAAAGTAGGAAGCAAACACTAAATTCTTTTAAAAGAGAGAGGTCCCTAAAAGTGTTTAGTTACAGTTTCAGGATCCTTGGTGTTATGCATTGTGGTAGTAT